TTTTTTTTTTTTTTGTAATCACATATTTTTAAATTTATATACTTTTTTCTTTAAAAAATATTCATTTGATAAGCTCTCATTAACAAAAATATTATGCAATGTGGTGCAAAAGTCCAATTTAAATCAATTTTTCGACCAAAAAAATTATTTTTTTCATAAATATAGATGTTGAACTTAAATTATAAATACATGAAATCTCTCTTTTTTTTTAATAAGTTCGAGGGTGATACAAATTCTAAGTTTTTAAAAACATGATGGTACACGTATCTATATTTATATTTATAGTAAATATATTTTTATATGAAATGAGTGATCGATACTTAACAATTAAAATTTCTAGATCCGTCACTGCGCCCACCACTGCCAGGTGCGGCCCGGATCGACCAACGGATTAGTCGAGGCATAGCTCCGAATACCGTGGTTGGCTACAAAAAAAAAAGTGTACATAACACTCATATGGAGTGGGACCCACCAAAAATAAAAAATCAAGTTGACCTCACTTCAAGTGAGTGTCATGTATACCTCTATTTGACATGATTGGTATGAGGAAATGACATAGAAATAGAATGATCATTACCTTACTCATTTCTTATCTCATGATTGGTATATTTTGTGGAAATGAACGACCATTCAAATGAGAATGACAAAACTCATCTCCATGGGATTAGTCATTCCATAGTTCATGAAATGTTTTCTCATTCCCATGTGTGTAGGAATTAATTTTTCAAAAAATAAAATTAAAAAAATAATAATAAAAAAAATAAATATATAATATATATTATAAATAATGATTAAAATATATTTAATAAAATTATTTTAAAAAATAAAATTCAAATAAAAATATTGAACACTTACTTTTATTTATTGTTTAATTATATATATTAAATTATTATATAAAAAAATAAAAAAAGCATTTATATATAATTTTAAAATATATTATTTTATTTTTATATATTATTAAAAATATATTATTTTTTATATGTTATACATATATTACTTTGAAAAATATATTATTAAAAATATATTATTAAAAAATATTAAAATATATATTATTAAAAATATATTACTTTTATTTTAATATATTATTCAAAATATATTATTGTAAAAAATAAAATTCAAATAAAAAAATTGAAAACTTACTTTTATTTATTGTTTAATTAAAAAATTAAAATATATATTATTAAAAATATATTACATTTTATTTTTATATATTATTAAAAATAATTTTTTTTATATATTAAAAATATATTACTTTTAAGAATACATTATTTATTATATATAATTTAAAAATATATTATTTCATTTCTATATATTTTTAAAAATATAATATTTTTATATTATTAAATAATATATTATTATAGTTTTATATATTATTAAAAGAAGCATTTATATATAATCATATAAAAATATAATTTTTTTAGAAAGCTTTTATTTATTTTTATAATAAAAATGATAATGTCATTCCATTCATGTCTTATTCTTTCTGCGTACCAAACACATCAATGACAAAACTTGTTTAATTCCGTTCCCATAATCATTCTTTACTTCAATTCATTCTATTCTTTTTTTTTTTTTTTCAGGGACCTTCCGGTTTCCAGATCCACAAGGGAACCGACTAATCCGGAATCGAGCCGGGTAGGACCACAAGGGCGGCAAAGCTCTCCCTCAAGAGTTTTAACACTGCTGCATTCCCAGGGCTCGAACTCGAGACCTCTGGTTAAGCTGGAACAGACCCAAGCCATCTCATTCAAGCGCTCTTGGGTTCAATTCATTCTATTCTTACTACATTCCATTCCATTATACCAATCAAGACCTATGTATATTTATTTTGTACTTATAGCATTTTCCATTCAGCATCATCCAAATTTTATCATCCTTTGTAATAATGATGTTTTATGTATGTCTCACTCTTGACGAATGCCGATCATTGGTCAATGATAAATGTTCGATATATAAGCCGTTAATATGACCCTTTTGGACTTTATTTTTTCGTGCAAATGCACGGGGTAAAATTAGTTAATAATTAATGTGTTTTGCAGAAATAACAGGAAAAGCAATAATGGCACGGGGACGAAACTACTACAACTGCTTTCTTTATTAGCTTTTCCAAATCACATTTCTCGCGTGAAATGAATAAATGTATGACATTTGATTAGTACTAAGTGGCTCTAAAATCATTTGAGCCCACACTGTTGGACTCATATGTTTATGACATCGAGGCCTTATCTTCGAACTCTTGCCTTCTTCTATTCAAGTAACTTTCAATTATTTGCATCAATCTATCCAAAAAGTCTGTGAGTTAATTAGGGACAAGATTTATCATCCTTTGTGTTCAACTTTGATTATTTGATCATCTCCCACCATTAACTATCCACATGAATTAAAGAACATAAAATGAAGTCCAAACTATTTTTTTTTTTTTTAAAAGAAAAAAAGTACTAACATTTTCCAATTAATACTTGCAAACTGCAATTATTGTCCGTCCATAGATCTTTATAAAGGTCATTTTCACAAGCAATCAAGTGTTTATTTTAAAACACATGAATATCATGAAGCTCTTGACAACCCACAAACAAACTCTTGAATATTCGTATCCGAGCTCCCACCTTTGTCCACGGCCTCCCTCGCCAACTTCCCCCACTCCATTGCCCGTCTCCTGATCTCCTCCCCACTCTCTCCCGTCATCACACGCTCCACACAACGAATTATCTCATCTCGTCTGACGACCCCACTCTCGTCCGCTTCACCCTTAACTCCCGTTTTCCATACATCCCCAACAAACTTGGCATTCGTGCTCTGGTCGCTCCACTGTGGTAGCCCCACCATCGGGACTCCCAGACTCAGTGCCTCCAGAGTCGAGTTCCACCCGCAGTGCGTGATGAAACACCCGACAGCCTCGTGTGCCAACACGTCCAACTGATTGCACCAAGTCACGATTAGCCCTTTCTCTTGGGGTGTCTCGTCTCTATAGTTTTCTGGGAGCTTGGCTTCCTCGGATGCCCTGACGACCCATAGGAACTTTATTTGTGTCGTTTTCAAGGCGAGAGCTACTTCTCTCATTTGATCAGCTCCCGGTTGGGCGAAGCTTCCAAAAGAGACATAGATGACAGATCGTTTGGGTTGTTTGTTGAGCCAGGTGGTGCAGGGTTCAGTCACGGGCTTGAAGGAGCTCAGGCCGTACGACTTATCATCCGGCACCACATTGTCTAAGTACCATGATGGTATGGTAGGCCCGATTGTTCTCACCGGCAGAAATTTAGCCATCCAATCACTTACCTTGCAACATCAAATAACTTTTGATTGAATGAAAAACAAACAAAAAAAAATACTTGAATGCAGGTAGGTATCGTTGCTTTGAAATTAACTGCAACAAACTTTAAATGTATGGTTTATTAAATTTAGTACAAATGTCAACTTATTAGCTTAAAATTAGAGTTCCAATAATAGGATTGGATCAATTGAAACAAGTAATACATAATTCTGGATTTATTAAATTCGTTGCACTATTGTCGTCAATTTATCAAAGTGTGTGTGTTTTTTTTTTCATAAAACTGAATATATTTTAAAAAAAACTTTTAGTCCATGAGGCTGATTGAATTTGGCTACTGCTTCAATTTATTGGGTCGCCTTCAGGTCATTTTCAAATACCCAACAAAATGACACTACTTGGATTGCATCCCAAGGGACCATGTTATGGTTCATTCAATTTGGTTGGATTAAGTAGAATAATACATAATCAAATCTCATTTCTCGTGCTGAACTTAAGTGGCAGTCTCACATGTTTCGAGATCTTATGTGGAAAAATTACATGTTTCGTTATTAGACTTGGATAAATTTTACTTTATTTTCAATCCAAAAATAATTAGGTCCAAATTATCCATTAATATGTTGATTATTTATGGTCATGTTACAGACATTAATTGCTTAACATCATTTCTTATTGTAATCATTGAATTGTAAATGTATTTTAAAAGTTAGTAACTTTTTGTATTTTTTATCAATTTTACATATATAATATATCAAATTAATCATCTCTTGATGAGCTTTAATTTAGCATCCATATTGTAGGTATAGAAAAAATAAGAACTAATTACCCTCCTAACG